ACTAAACGTATATTTTTTATTGGCTTTATGGATTTAAAACTTCTTCTCTAAAGTTAAAATATATGTACTAATGCATTCCAACACAGTCGATTTTATACCGAGAACGAAAATAATTTCAGAAATTCGCAGACAATAAGACGTCGACTCGTGACTTTGCTTCATATAAAAATTCTACAATTTATTGTTACAAAATGAGACGGTCATGGAAGATGGATTACATCAAGAAATACGGTTCTCAGAATTAGAATTAGACCTCTAACAAAAAAGTTATGCGTGTAGATCTATATTATCGTGCAAGGTACTATAATTGTTTATCCTTGTCTATATCTTTGTCCATACAAGGACAGATATAGGCCAGTAACATAGAAAACGTTCGAAATTATTCGACATTTTTAATCCCGTTTAGATGAGAACGCTTTCTCATCGGAGTTCGGCTTTTGGTTTAGTTAGGATTTAGCTGGAGATTGATAGATCGAAGAGGAGGTTCGTGTCAGGCAGACGCGAGTCGGGCTGCAAATGACACCGCACGAAGACGCGAAACTTTTTTGCAGGGAAAACTAATGATCTCGATCATTATCTGGATTCTTCCTGGGATAAAAGTACATGAATTGCACGTACTTTCGCGCGGTAGAAAAAGAGTGATAAATCACGACTCATAATTGTGCCACAACGTACATTCGACTGTATTACACAATGTAACTGATTATGAAAATAATTGCAAATAATAATGCGATCGAAAAGCAGCAACAAGAAAGATTAATTGCGTGACCAAAAAATTCGTAGTAAGCTTCGCCAGTATTTTCCGTTCTAGTTATAATTTGAATCTTTTTATATACTCTAACTTTCTCCACGCTCAAATTTTAATAATAGATAAGTCAAATTTGGAAAAGTACATGAAATTTACAAAATATTATTATTATAGGCTACAAGTTCCAAGCCTGACTATAAATAGTGTTCTTCCCTCTAATTGCTCGAATTTTATTTTTCCGATGTTTACTACATTTAGAGATCGTCGTCCGTAGACTGAAATATACAAATGTGTAACTGTTACCGTATTAAGATGAGAAAAGAAAATATTCTCCCGCGAGAAAGAATTCGACGGCTGAAGCTGGCGCTTGTTGACAAATTCAAAATGGGTTATTTAGAGATATTTTTACTCTGCAAATCCAAGTGTGTTATTTTTAAACGTCTAAAAATGACACACTTGACTGAAGCTCTTTTCACATGTTTCTTCATGTGTTAAATTACGTCATTTAACGATTGAACGTATTAATTTTTAATTTAATATGATTAAACATGTTAATTTAACACATAAAAAAACATGTAAAAAGAGCTTCAGTCAAATGTGTCATTTTTAGACGTTTACGCGTGTAAAAATAACACACTTGGATTCGCAACGTACCTAAGCCGCAAACGGTCTGGGATATACCTCGCTCACTTATCTCGCAGTAATGAATTGGGCGTTTGGTACGTTACCCCGGGGTAATGATTACCGGAGCACCGTCCTGGAACGATCCGCTACCAACGATCCATCGGGATTTCTATCCGAGTTTCGTCGGCAGGATCGATCGCGATCGAAGATAGAGATAACCGAGCGCGCAGGATATACCGCGAAGATCCACGAGGAATTTATGCATTAACGAGACCACGCCAGTCCGCGGCGTATAGCTTTTTCCCGCGGCCAATTTTGCAAGCGCACTTCCGCACGAGGCTCTTATCCGCTCGCGCGCTTCGTTTCGTTCCTGTTCTTGTTAGGCCACCTAGCACCTCGCAGTTCTCGCGCGGATTCTCCATTTGCATTCCGACGTAGTCCACGCCGCGCCACTTCCTGTTCGCCAAAGCGACGTTTCTTCGCTCGTTTATACGCCTTTCGAGTCGTACACCGCAGCGATTCCACTTGCGATGCGCCGTAAAATGTTGCGTTTAGCCGGCCGCCGATTTCTCGCCGTTCTTCTGTCCGGCGGCTCTGTGTCAATTTTCTTGCGTGTTGTACGAGCTATTATTATCAGGACGGATTAGATCTCACCCGCTTTCCAAGCGCAACGAGGACACGCAGCTGTGTTTATTACATTTTTCAGAAAATGCGGAAGATGTTTGCTTTAGTAAATAAAAAAAGATACGTTTCGCTCTATTTGTCATCGCGAGAAAACGGAATACGCGAAAAAACCGAGAAGGAAAAAGGAAGAAATGATAGCTTCTAACTCACTAAACGACTTAATCAAACGTTTGCCTTAAAAAAAAGTGTTTATATATTTCTATCAATTATCCAGAATATCTGAAAACTATTTTTAATTGAAACATCCATTGTTAAATAATTAATCGTGTCGTTTCCTGTCCAGTAATGATAAGACCGATGTTCCGCAGAAAGAAATATAAAAAAAGACAAAGAAAGAGAAGATTTATCTTAAGGCTAGTCTACACATAACGTTCAGTCTTGCATGATAAGTTTGACGACGCAAAACACGCGGATGTACACTAATCATGCTCAGTCTTTCGCTTAGTCTTTGGCTCAGTCTTTCCAAAAACACCATAAATGAAGCACCATTGATTTTACGATAATTTTATTATGCGCGCTGAGATTGAGAAAAAAGAAATTTGCGCATTGCTTACAGTGGTCTCGAAAATTAATGGTTACTCAAGAAGGATAGATTCTCTCATGTCAATTTGCTCCGCGAATTACGGCAGGACTCAGAAGATTGGCGTAATTATATTTACGTATGGATATGGACACGTACTGCAAACTATTAACGAGTAACCCCAAATAAAAAAACAAGACACTGCCATGAGAAGGGCTATCATCCTATGAGAGACTCACCGCAAGATTAAGATTTTTAGCGACTGGGAGGAGCTTAAGTATACAACTATAATTTCTAAACAAGCTCTAAGTTGCGGCCGAATTTGACCGATTAGACGGATGTGCGTCTACATGCAATAACTTGTCTGCCGTCTTGCTTGAAAACAAAGCTCCAGCTCGTCCGTCTTTTGTGAGGTCGTCAAACTTACCGTTCACGCGTAACGTTTTGTCTGATCGGTCTGGCATGATCATGCAAGACTGACGACAAAACGTTAAGGAGGGTCCACATTATCGAGCAAAACCGCGAGCCGAACTTCGCCGCGAACCGATCATGCGTCCACATTATCGAGCCGACGGACTCGCGCGAGGCTCGCGAACCTCGAATCGAACATCAGTGCGAACCATCGCGTACTCACCCCACGAATCTGCAAGGATTTTGATGATACGCGGTTTGGCTCGCAGTGTCCCACCAAAAGTCGGTATTCTGACGAAACATCAAAAGATGCTTTTTATGATCAGATTATACGCTTTGTCGGGTGGTAGACTGGTAGTTAAGCTTCGAGCTAAACAAATAATGACAAAAAACAAAAAATGAACGATGAAAGAAAACGTGAGTAATTGCCCAGTCACTGTATTTGATTCTATCCACGTATGTGCAGTCTACACGACTACTGGTAGACAAAATGGAATGGTCTGATAAAAAATGTTTAAAATTAATTAGTGATTATGAGCAGAAAAGATTATTATATACGGGACGCTAAAAATCCCGAACATTATAACAATTAAAAAAATGCATATTTATATATATTTACAATCGTATTTTTAACGTTGCAATATATATTATAAATTTATTGCGTATTTATCATAGATTTAGAGTATGTTTATGCAATATTAAATATAGTTGGTACCACTCTAAATATAGTTTTATGGTTTGAAAAGGAATTAAGCTTTGAGTACAAGAAAATAATAAAAGCACGCATATGTATACACATATTTAGTCGTCTTTTCCTGTTCTCATACTTTTTTTATAAGAAGAAATAAGTAAAGAACTCGAATGTGATAGTGACATGTGCAAAAAAAAAATGACGACATTATTGCAAAAAATAAAAAAAGTATGGAAACAGGAAAAGGTGAGTGAATATATGTATATGTGCTTTTACTATTTTTCTGTATTCAAAACTTAATTCCTTTTCAAACCATAAAACAAAATTTAGAATTAATATTGCATAAACATACTCTAAACCTGTGATAAATACGCAATAAATTTATAATATATATATTGCAATGTTAAAAAATACGATTGTAAATATAAATATGCATTTTGCATACATGTATTAAGAATTTATATAAATTTTATTATAAATTTCAATATGAGATTTGACTTCAAAAAATTTTAACTCATGTTCGCGGTTCGCGATGAAGTTCGATTTGAGGTTCGTCTGCAAGTTCTGCTCGAGGCTCGGTTCGGGACTCGGTTCGCGGTTTGGCTCGATAATGTGGACCCTGCTTTACGTGTAGACCAGCCTTTAAACTATATAAATATTCTTCTGTTTATAAAAGCATTTCAAAAAATGTTTTTTATAAATAAATGGTTACTGATAAACGTTACTCCTAAACGTTCAAAGCCAAGCAAGGCACTTTGAAGGAAAAGGAAAAACTAGAAAGGAAGAGAAAGTTTATATGATAAAATTGTGACAAACCTCTCCTCTTCCTTTCTCTATCTATTTATCTTGAACCTTTAGCGGCTTTGTGAGCTGGATGCAGAGCTTTACTGTACAAATGTTCTGTCACGGAACGCACTGTATCGACACTAACATCAATCAAAACTAGTATTGTCTTAGAATATGTAATTCGTATCTGTCTACGTTAGTGTAAAATAATAACGAAACAAACTGTGTTATCTTATAATTTATTTATATACAATATATATAAACTCGAAATATAAATAGAACAAATCTGTGTAAGTAGATTATTTGAACAATATTTTAAATTAAACTACCCATCGAAGCGCAACTGTCTTCGTCTCCCATCTTCGTTTGACTGAAACGAGATCGAAGACGAAGAAGACGAAGAAGGTGGCGGAGGAAGAGGAGGTAGCTCAGAAGACAGGGAGTCCAAGACCGTGGCGAGGAGAAGGTGGGAGCGCACGGGCCCCGTGCCCCGTCTTGGCCGCTTTTCCGTTCCTCTTGCTGCTCTCGCGCCAAAAGCCAGACTGACGGGGGTCCGTTCAGTCTCGTTTCAGTCATCCACACGCACGCGTAGACGCGCGTCACATCGCGGAGAAGGCACCGGCCGCTACACGCTTGTTTACATCCTCTTCGTGCCGCCGTCACGCAACCAACCCCCTTGTGGGCAACGCGCTTAACGATCGCGCTCGTTATCGGCGGTGATATATGCGCGTAGTACGGCCGCAGGTGAAGCGGGAAATCGATTCGACTCGAGAGGAGCCGCGTGGCCAGCAAAGCGGAAATAATGCACGGAAATCGTGGGACGGTCCTCGTCCTGTACACGATGATCAATTGCCTGGTGAGTTGTCGAATTGTACTCCACGAATGTACTCTGGATTTTAGTCTCTTCCGGATTGTTTCCGGGGTCGTTCGCCTCCGAAGCGTTTGCGTGGGCGACTCTTTTGGCACGTGGACGCGACTCGACATAAGATCGTTTGTAACGCAGGTGTATCTCGCGTGTAACGTGACGCCGTGATTACGTCGCACGGATCGCACTTCGGGACATCGAGATAGCTAATATATTAGTCGGAGCGGTAATCGACGCCAGTCGCTACAACATTAGAACATGCTTATTATATCGTTAATCGTATCAGTGTAAATTGTACCACCCTGTAAATGTCTAGATTCACCCCTCGTAACTTCGCACGTGATAGGAGATAAACTCGAATAAAACAATGATTAAATTATGACATTAAAAAAGGCCAATTTTATCTTAGAAAACCGTATTAGGAACTTAGGGCGGCGGTGTGGTCTAGTGGTAGAGCGCCAGACTCGTAATCTGAGGAACCAGGTTCGAGTCCACTAGAGCCATGAATCATGGAAAAGTTTTTTTCCGAAAAAACCGCGCCCCTCCGTGCAAGGTGCGGAGAAAACTGGGCTCCGTCTTTCGGAAGAGACGTTAAACCGTTGGTCCAAAGGAGGAAACAGTAAGGTAGTGGATGAATTGGAGGTTAGGGTTGGGTACGTCCCTTCAAAACACCCTTTAAGGCCCCTTGGGGTATATAAAGTAAAATTCTTTATCCGTATTAGGAACTTCTTTTCTTTGGACAACGTATCGTTTCTCGAATGTAATCGCCGATCTCCCGATCTGTTTACCATGCGATGCGATGTTCACTTCTCGCAATGATGCGTGAAAAAACTATTTCTCACTCGCCCACGATGATCGGAAGTTTAAACGACTTTGCCATTATCATTCCTGTGCTCATCCATCCGCATGATAAAATGCAGACTGTCGAACCGTTGTAGATACTTGTTTATTACACATCCCACGTAACGAATACACAGGTGGAAATCTCTTTTAAGCCACCGGTACCTCTATACTCTTCACCGAGTCAAGGTCATTCTCGGCAAGATTGAAATTCTATTAATGTCAGCTGTAGACGCGAGGTACATGCGAGGTACGCGAGACTTTCTAAGCGGCTGAATTCGTCAAAAAACCCTTGATTATCAATGCCGGACAATTCCGCGGTTAAGGACCCGCCGCAACGGTCTTCCGGCAGGACTACGTTCGTCTGCACGCATGTAGAATCACAATAATTCTTACCTGACCTCGTGGGTCGTTGGACTCTGACACGTCGACCGGCGTCGAGGTGTCGTCGTTGAATATGCGAGTGGTGTTAAAGAGGAATGCATTCCGGGTCGCGGCGCGGCGGCTCCCCTTTGCATTATCGTCCGAGGCTCCGTAGCGGGAAGCAAATATTTTACTTTAAAACGTACGTACTAAGTGTACAAGCAAAGTGTAGCATTAATATTATTGCCCTCATGCCTAACCCGCTTTAATAACCGCCATAAAACTCTTGCGTATTGACGGTCGCGAATAGCAGAGGCTGCATGATAGCCGTCTCTTCTTACGCGTTACGGTATCGCGCCTTTTACACCACTCACTTTTTCCGTAAGAAATGGATGTATTACGGGAACTCGTTTTCACTCGTACGGAATTGATTGTTAATTTCTTATTTACTGCCCGATTAATTAATACATCTGCTTTTGCGATGACAACTTAATGTAATTTTCTTATTGATCGAGTTTATCAATTGCGATATTGAGTTCGTGATATAGATGAATTAAGCACAAATTTTATTTTGGAGATTTGTTTTAAACGCGATACGTTCAATAATATTCTATAATTTATTTATTTAGTTATTTCTTACTGGGCCAAAAAATTTACTTAAGCGCATATTCGATATGCAATTTCATCTTTCTATTAATGCAACGAGTCTCCACGCGTCCGCTCATCGGCAATTCGGCGTGCCGTGTGGAACATTGAATTAAACATTAGCCGTTCTTTTATTAGACCGATAGCGGGCGCGTTCGCACGTGCGTGACATATCGAGAATTGACTCGCAAAAGAGCGCGTCTATGCATTTCCGTTTTGTCGTCGTGAAAAAAAACTTCAGAAATATTGAATTGCAATAGACTCGCTCTGTTCGACTGCATATATTCTTATTTTAAATGCACCAAGTGTCATATACATATAAAAGCTAAGCTTTGAAGGAAAAAGGGAAGATAAAAATACTTTTGAAAGTACTGCTAGAAAGCGAGACGCACTTTATGAGACCTGAATAATTTTTAGGGTATCCTGCACGGTATATGTTTAACCAGGCAAACATTAAAAAGCACGTACCCCTCGCGTTGTCTTATCCTAAATAAATATAAGAGACATGAAATATGGAATACCAACGTCGACAGTTTAGTTTTCTTCTTACAACAGTCATTTGAAACAAATTCAAAGCAACGTTCTACGCTGATATTATACATTAGACGAAAATAGTCACGGTCTATCTGAAATACTCTCTTACGATACATCTGCAAACGACATACTTTCAGCTTTCAGATACATTCTGCCATTCAAAACCAAAGATCCAGAAAACGCAATTGTTTCCATATCGCGCATGCAACTTCTCGGCATTGTGGAACAAAATTATTCCACGGTGCTCACACAAGATCGAGCCCGAGTTTCATTAGTTTCCCTATAGATCCACCCATGCTAACAAGAACAGACCCATTGTTTTCGTGGCCAGGGGAGGAAAGGAAGAGGTGAAGGGCTGGAGGAAATAGATCGGCCACGACCACGGAGGCCAATTTGCAGGCAAACAGAACTCCGGAGAGCTCCGCCTCCTCCTAGTTCCACGCAACGGTAGTTGCAATCCCATCTGTAACGATGCGGCTGAATATTGGCTCGTTTCTTTCCTTTTCCTCGCATTATGCAGGGTACCTTCGCCTTTCGAGTCTTTCTTGCTGCTGTCGCATCTGTTACTGCGAGCGACTTCATTCCGCGAGCAGTTCCACGAGACCGATATTGATGCCCCCTTATACAGGATGTCCCAGAAAAGATATCCAGAAAATGTGTAGGATAGATCGAGCAATCGAATCAAATTTATTTGAAAATTTTTTGACATTTTTTTAGCAAAGATTTGATTAAAAAGAGTTGTCTTTCTTTATAATACTGAGAGATTCAAGTTTTGTTCAGACAAAATCTATTTAGCTTTATAAAAGTAAAACCGCGATATTTTATTTGTTTATAATTTAAGAATTATTATCTTTTGCCATTTTTTTTAACGAAAGGTCAACTCTGAGTTTGTGAGAAAATCTGTATTAAAATAAAAGGTGGGGATCTTTTATTTTAAGATTTCTTATTTATTTCTAATACATGAAATTATGGATTACTTTTTATTCCATAAAATTATATATTTATTTCTCAAGTTTCGTAAAACACCTTGTACGCAGGAACGATTATCTGGAAGATAATCCTAGCAGAAACAAATGCGTATAGTTAACGAGAAAATTGCTCCAACTTGCACTATTTGCATACGAAAAAGATTGACAGGAATATGAAAGATTAGTGCAAGAAGGTTCACCTTGAGAAGATTGCAGATGCAGGCAACGGTAATTAAGAGTACCACGAGTCGAGCAAGTCATCTTCAGTTTTTGCGGTTTTTCTTCCCGACGAGTTTTTCCCAAGTACGAACCTTTTTTCCCCCCCTCCCCCGCTTTACCCCGAGTTATAATTCACGGTACGCATGTATGAAACGCGATTCCCATGTACAGGCGAGAACGGATAGCCGGGGAAACGCTCGAGTTTACCAATACATATACGTGTTGGAAACCGGGTACCGGTATCCCATGAGATAATTGCGACCGTCCGATGCTTCCGTGCATCGCGGTGTGCGAATTGCATCGCCATACCTTGTAATTGACGCCCGACGATTATTCTCGCGGCAACGATTGGATTTTTCGACGCGTTTTCTGACCCGACCGAGAGCGCGCTAATGACCGCGAGAGATGCATGTTACGCCGGGAAAATCGACGCTCCCGGGCCATGCAATTATCTGAAATCGATAGTGCAATGCAGCCGGTTTGTTGCATAAGGATACATCGTGCTACTCGTTTTTGTGAAGAAATGATTTTCGCGTTTGAAGATATACAGGGTGTCCGAAAAATCGCCTACTCCACTTCGGGAGGTGATTCGGGATCCAAAAACAAGCAAAAAAGTTCATACAAACATAGGTCCGGAAATGAGCCGTTTCCAAGTTATAGCTACTTTTATGTTCAAAAATCGTAATTTAGAATCCGCTTGACATCCCTCTTTCTTAATTATTTCTTAAATTAAAAATTTTTATTTTTAAATATCAGCTAATTCATTAAAACTTAAACGATCCATTGATGAATACGGAAAGATTAGATACAACCTAAAAGTAAGGTGTTGTTAAATAATAATTTGAAACTTATTGAAAAGCCGTGATTTATTTACTAATTTTGAATAGGCGTGAAAACAACTGATTTCAAGTAGCCGTGAAAACAACTAATTTTGAATAGCCGTGAAAACAACTGATTTCAAGTAGCCGTGAAAACAACTAATTTTGAATAGCCGTGAAAACAACTGATTTCTTTTAAAAATAATGTAATCGTATTTACAATTATTGAAAAATTGGAAAAAAATAAAAAAATTAAAAATATTTAAAAATAAAAATTTTTAATTTAAGAAATAATTAAGAAAGAGGGATGCCAAGCGGATTCTAAATTACGATTTTTAAACATAAAAGTGGCTATAACTCGGAAACGGCTCATTTCCGGACCTATGTTTGTATTAACTTTTTTACTTGTTTTTGGGTCCTGAATCACCTCCCGAAGTGGAGTAGGCGATTTTTTGGACACCCTGTATATTAGGTACGTACGACACGGTAAGATTGAGATCTCTCGCTACCGCGCATTGCAATAAAACGACTTGAATCGTTAATCTTAAGGACGATTTTAAGTTTAATGGGGGAACTTTAACGTTTAGACATTAAATTTCGAGGA